GAACTACTAACTACTAACTACTACTTACTTACTTTACTACCTAACTAACTAACTAACTAACTAACTAACTACCTACCTACCTACCTACCTACCTACCTACCTACCTACCTACCTACCTACCTACCTAACTAACTACTACTACTACTACTACGCTCCTGCTCCTGCTCCTGCTCCTGCTGCTGCTTCTCCTGCTCCTGCTACTGCTACTGCCTACTACTCCGTACAGTTTCTTGTAACTAGCTGGTGGCCCGAAACGCCTGCGGCATCGGTCAGGAGGCTTTTTGTGAGCAATGCCCAACATTGCGACACGAGTGGCTCATGTGACTCTTTTGAACAGCTCTGTATGTTGCCAAGCGCGTCACCAGTACTACTTTGAATTGAACATGTGTCGCATATATGTAGCTATGTGCTTAAGTCATAGGGGAATCTCAAAAACGATATTCCTTATCTAGGGACCGCTTCTGGAACAATCTTGCATTTCGCTCTCAGAAACCTTTGTCAACCCTAGCTTCGTCCCTTACGAAAAGCTTGCAGAGTTAAGGGAATGCTACACTCTAAATTTTCTAAAGCCATGCACCGGGTCCTACCGGAGTCCTACCCACAGCCCTACTTACTGATTGAGCAATCTCGGTTTTATGACAGTAGAGCTGTGCCCGTTCAAACACTCGCTCCAAAACACTGAACGTCTCCCCTGAATCCCCAAACACTACACTCTCTAAAGCCGGACACCCTGAAATCCGAAGCCCTGAGTTAGCCCCGTCCAGGCACCAGTTTGCCGCCCGATGCTGGCTCGGCAGGCCCAGCAGGAAATCAATTTCAGAAACCACAATGGTCTCGTAAGGGTTCGGGGAAATTGAACATGTCTTCGTTTTATTTTGCATGCTATCGGGTGGTAAGGAGCTTATTACTATTATTCATACATATATATATATATACCAAACAATGTTGGAACCCCGTACTCTTCACGAAGCACATGTACACATATACATATACATATTATGCAAATACATATGCATACACATACATACATACATACATACATACATACATACGTACATGCATACATACGCACACATACATACATGCATGCATGCATACATACATACACATCTTGTTACCTTGTGTCAGCTGATGGCCTGCGTTGCAGGAAGGAAACCACGACACAACAACTTAATGCGGAATCTCAGGAAGCACCAGCAAACTCACACTCACAGGCGTAGCGACTCAACCCGGAATGTACGCTGGACCGACAGATCCGATGATGCCTTTTGCGCTCGAAAACCACACACTGCTTCGCGCCTGTCAGGCGTTGCCCATCAAGACTCTTATGCTGGACCTGGGTGTCTGAGCTTCGGGCCCCTGCTTTAGTATTTGCGGTGAGAGGCGATTCTTTAGGGTTAGGTTTTGGGCTCACCTTTTTCGCAGATCAGCGGTGGCCTCACGGATGCGTGTCGCCCAGCTTGCAGTGTAAAATAATCATGGCCCTAGTGGCCTGGTGCTCACGAAGGCTTTCGTTTCCACACCACACCTCAAGGCTGTAAGAATCCCGTGACCGATATTAAAAAGCCGAAGGTAATCTCTGCTCGAAGTCTCTGAGCGCAATTTATCGGACCCTGGGGACCCACGCCCACCCGTGCCCTATTTCAAGGTCCCAAATGTGTTTGTTTTGCAGGCTCTATGTTAATTCAACCCCCTATAACATGCCAAATCATGCCAATATAGAGCCCTGAACAAGAATGAATGTTTTGGGTGTAGGTAGGTAGGTAGGTAGGTAGGTAGGTAGGTAGGTAGGTAGGTAGGTAGCCCAAACCGAAAGCCGGAGGCCTATCAAACAACCCTCAAGAAAGCCAGCACGTGGCCATCTCGGTGACTGCGGGCTCCGAGCAAACTGCACCCCACTTTGCCCGAAAGCCGCTGGTTCTGACTTGCATTTCAATCCAGCATACTCAACATTGCTGTGAGTATTGTCAATATTGCTTCCTGCTACTACACTTATATAGATGAGCATTCAGAGCGTGCACAGGATCGGGATCTTATGTGCAGATTCCTTGCGTTCCAGTGCAACACACCTGTAAGCCTTGAATCTCTTCAGGAACCGATAGCACACCTCCGAACTCAGCTCAGTCTTGAAAACTTGGCTTGAAGTGGAGGCGGGGCACTGGGGTCTCAACGAGGTCTCGTTTACGGAAGTAGAAGCCAGCAGGCGCAGTTACCTTAAAAGCTTCACTAGCCCCGACCTTGTGCAAAGCATAAGGCACGGGAGTGAACAGCAGTCTCACCAGATGTGACACTAGCTCACTCAACTACCTGGGAAGCCAACATCCTCTGCCAACAGGCAAAAACTTAAGCCACCCGCAAGCCATCAAGGATTGGTGGTACCAAGCCCTACCAACCGACATGCACCTTCTTCCCAATCTTCCTCCCAAGGCGCATGTCCCAAATCCCAACCGCACCACAATTCCTCATCCGTCCGATGTTTTAGCCTTAGCTTGTATCTAAGTATTGAGCATCTACAATCATCTGCCCTAGCCCAGCCCATTGTGCGGTGATCGGCTCTCCCCGGCCGCGCAAGTTGCCGAATCCATGAGCAAGCCCTGCGCCGTGCACGAAACTCTCAAGGCAAAACACCGGGCGAGCGACAGCGCGGGTTGCAGGGGATGTTTCGGCTAGACTAGACATGGAGTCCTAGTTTTGAATTTGGATTTCCAGAGCAGGAGCCTGCGATTGTTGGCAAGATCGACTGTGCACCCAGTGAGCCATCACCCGCTGCAGCCACTTGGCATGCCCAAGGCTTAGTAGGTGAAGCCCAACTTCTCGCAGGAGGAGATTCGTACGGTTTGCAGCACTTCAGCTTCGCTCAAGCATGTCACATTGAAGCGACGATGATTCCTACATGAGAGACTTCCCATCGGCAGACCCGAAGCCATTAACAGTCAATGTCGACGCCTCAGGGTGTTCAAGATGTTCGCGTTATTTGTTTATTTCAACTCCGTAGAGCTTTCAACGTAAAACTTCGAACCTTGAACCCACGACTGGAGGCGTGCACCCCTTCCATGAGCCAAGAAGCCTATATTGAGGGGTTTTCGGGCGTGAAAGAAGCCCAACAAAAGGGTGACCGGGAGCTTCCTCCCTGGTGCAGCCATGCTGGCCCCTGACCTCCAATTCATGGTGCACTCGCGCGGGCCTTAGTTCAGTCTTGCTACTTGTAGGACCTGCCATGTATGAAGTTCTGTTGTGTTGCAACCCTCAATCCAAAGGCGAGGGCCACGAGGGCTTTGTCATGCAGATGACTTCGCGTTACTTCTACGTGCTGCCCCTTAACCCCCAAATTCCAAGCAGAACTCAGACTGGATTCAAGGATAATTGGATGTGTCATTCTCGGCGTCAGGCCATGGCCTGCACCGGCTTCATTCGTAATATCCACCCATTGTGAAATTCATCAAGTTTGGGATTTCGCGCTCGTGTAGTTTCGAGAAATGACCCTTCAGGTCCTCAGTTCTCGATAGTGTTCTCGATGCTGCTACCCAACCCTGGCGACACGCGAAAGCACAGACAGCTTCTGCTTTGGAAACGAGGTCCGAAGTTTTGGACGACGAGGGCTACGTGCACCGGGGCTCCAAGATCACACAGCTAGAGAGGCGGACCCACCGTCTTGATAAGGGCTAAGGATTTGCGATTCTCCGGTTCTGGGCATTCTGAATGCTTCCGCAGTACCGGAAAGCTCTACTCATCAGGAATCAGACCAGGTGCGAACTCCCAGCATTGTTCCCAAAAATTGAACTAAATCCGGTCTACTGTGGAAGAAGTCTACCTCCGCAAATCTGGAGGTCTTACGAAGACCCGCAACCAGCTTTGAGTTTAGATATTGGTCGCTTCCGCTTGACATTCTGGCTTCGCTTCAAAACTAGTGAGTAGTTTACCAAATATATCTACCTTATGGCTATCGTATCATTATTGCTGTAGAAAATACACTCTTGTGATAATTGAGATCATTAGGTTACAGGTTGTGTGGTTCTGTTATCATTTTGAATCGTACCAACTACTGATCCTTTGCAGCTTTTCGACGACCGGTGAAACACCTGCAAGATAGCTCACTTAGTCACTCACGCACGCACTCACTCACTCACTCACTCACTCACTCACTCACTCACTCACTCACTCACTCACTCACTCACTCACTCACTCACTCACTCACTCACACACACATACACATTTCCCAAAGCCACAAACCCAGAGTTCCTGTTCATTCCCGCTTTCCCAAAAGCCCTCAACCTTGTAACTCCGTGTCGCCGGAGCCTTAAACAGGGGCGAGGAGCCACCCGAGTGGAGGCTTCGAGACTTCGCCTTCGCTGCGCTGGAGACTCAAAGAACTTCTAGTTCGGAAGCCAGAACTTAGGGCCGAGAGGGATTTAGCGATGAAGGCTGTAGGTTGTAGAGTCCGCGAGAGTGACGAGTGTCCATTGATTAGAGCTTAGTCCGACGATTTTGTGACGATTACCAGCTCAAGGCCTTGAGGACTTTATGTTTGTGTTTGGCACCGGGATTGATATCCTCCTTCCCGTGAGCTAAGATGAAATCCCGAATGGACACTCGTCCATAGTGGGTTCTTGTAATATTCACATCGTCAGGCTCTTGCGTTTCGAGTTTGTTGGGCTCGGGGCGATTTTGGGCTCGTCGTTCACGGTCTTCTAAAACCACATCCACCCACACGCTCACCCTCAGGCTATGAGCCCGAGGCGTTGGAGTCGTTAGAGTAAGAGCATCAAGCAGGAATGGTCCTCAGACCCTAGAACCTACTAGATCCTAGTTACTAGTTCAGGCGCTCAAGCCCTGGACCGCTGTCAGGTATAGTGGGCCCAATGCCCCTGGCCTGCGCGAGGCGCGTTGCAGGGAGCTCGGGGATTTCGGGGCTGTCTGGTTCCTACCTCGAGGCCGAGGTCTGGTGTGATACGATCGGGCGCTCGCAATGCCGGGTCAGCTGACCTTAGCTTCTCAGAGACTTGAACATTTGAACAAGTGAAAGTGCAGTCAGTCCAGTCTCGCATCAGCATCAGCATCTCAGCGGTCTTGGCTGACACCCCTCAAGCCGCAAGGGCATCAGTCTCCCTGTTATCGCTGCACTTGAAAGCCAAGTCACTACGGTTGCATCCTAGTTCCTGAGCCTGAACCTCAATCTTTGTGAAAACTGCTTGAGCTGCAGCTGAAGCTAGACATATGGGCACCTGCAATGACTTTCACCACTGGCTCTCACTGGCCGTTGGGATGTGAGGTCGTTGTAAGGGAAATGCCGACGGCAGTCCTGTTGCTACCTGTACACTGTACGGTTTGCTCGAGGCGGCATGTGGAGATGTGGGTCACAAAAGGATAGGCGCATCACAGGTATCTATCATAGAACCGAGACTGACTGTAGCTGTGTTCGACGAAGCACGGAAGCAAAAATCGGCAGCAGGTGCACTTCGGCCGCCGCTCCGTCTGGGTCTTCGCCTCCGCACGAGACCACACGGAGGAACTCGGAAGGTTTACGCCTTCGAGGGTTGATTGCAAAGAGTTGTGTTTCCTGGACCACCAAACTGCCCTAAGCCTAAGCCCTTCGAACAGCTTACCATTGTTTTGCAGCGCCCTAGTCTTGTTCGGGAGCCTCAACAGGCAAAAACCCGTCTGTTCCTATTTGGGTTTGTGATACTTTCAAATCTTGTTGGCCTTACAGGGAGAGGTTCCCTAGGCTATCTCAGGTTGATGTAGATGGAAGAGACGTCTGAGTTCACACGACTGTGGGGTGAGGAACATGAAGGCTTATAGACCGCTCTTCTCGTGGGGCGGGGAAGGTGTCCATGTGGCACTTGTCAGGTTGTTTACTTGTTAGGACGTTGGGCCTGGCCTGTTGGTAGGGAAGTGACAGGCGATAGCTTCGCGGAATGATACTGCGGCAAGCATATGCATGTATGAGTTCCTCGTTTTGGTGCTCATCTCGGTGATGTAGCGGGCTAATCCTTCACCCTCAACCTCGAACCACACACCCTTCGATCGCAAGACTTGAGTTCGAAACCCCGAACCGGACGGGGGCAGCAAACCAAAGAGTACAGCAGTGTAAGCATTCGACGGCAGTGTTCATTCTGAGTTTGTTTTCTGAAGCATCAGTTCTCTTGCCCTGTTCCCCCAAATGCTGAGCCCTGGCCGCCCTGGCACTTCAGTTTCATTCGAATCCGAGGCCCGAGGTTCAACATGCTCGTCGTTGAAGCCTGAACCTTACAACCCCGAAACCTCAAAGCTATCAAAACATACCAACAACCTATAAGAATTCCAAGACGCCCGGGCCCTCCAGAGTCCAGGAGATCGTGGTATTCCGAA